GAGGGCTGATGGTGTTAAGAGCAGAGTGCTCTGCTGTATATCAAAATGGTCCCTTTCCCTCCCACGCTGCCAGAAGCCCCAGGGCATTTTTGATGCCAGAAGCCCCAGGGCATTTTTGCTGCCAGAAGCCCCAGGTCATTTTTGCTGCCAGAAGCCCCAGGGCATTTTTCTCTGATATTTTCTAAGGCAACACGGCCAGGCTTCAGAGGCAAATCTCACCACGGTGCCTCCTCCCCCCCCTGACTGGAGTTTTTGACTCACAGACCTGCCCACACTGAGCCTACAGCAACTTGTCAGTTATAGTTCAGGATCTCCTAAGGGCCAGGCGCTGGTCCCCAGGGTGGTTCCCCTGCAAGTCTCTGCTCTGGAAGCCCATGATCCCTGTTTTCACCTGTTGGTGCCTCTAATCTCAGGGCGGTGGCCACCCTGTGTCCTCCCATGGCATAGGCATCCAAGATTAACTGTTGTTCTCCAGTCTGTTTGGCGTTTTATTAGGATGGAGTTTCATCATGGTGACACTGCTGTGATAAGCCTAGTCAGGAGTAACAGGAAAGGAGCGAAGGGAAGGCCACATAATACAGGCACGCCATTGGGGCTCCTTTGCCAGGAAGCTGCAGTTTAACACGCCCCAGGAAGCCACCGGTCTGTCCCCAGCGGGACTGGGCAGGAGGAGAATAGATTCTTTCTCACACAGTGAGGACTGGATGACATAGGGGAGGTACTTCCTGTCAGTCACACCTGGGAACAGGTCATTGGCCAGAGTAGGCGTGGCCACTGCAAGCACCGGAAGATCTGAGGTAATTACTCTCCTGAACAGAGGGGGTCGCACTCTTGGTTCTCTGACACTCTTGGCTCTTGTGTTTTGGGGAGTCCTGGGACTCTTGTTGCAGGGGGTGTGCGCTCTTGCCTCCCCTGCATTTGCCCACACAGCTCACAGCCGTGCGGACTCCACACACAATGGACTGTAACCAGCCTGAGGCCGCGCCAGACCCAATGCCACCATGGAAAGAAAACTGCTTCTAGCTCTACTGAATCCCCAGTTACACATCTTCTAGGACCAGATTAAGGGAAATGGGTCTTTGGAACCCAAGGATGTAATTGCACAAAAATAAAGCTTTCCACCACATCTCATTCTCCCATGGGGGCCCCTGGAATGCTTATTCCAGCGGTACCCCAGTAACCCCACTCCCACTAGCAATGGAGAAAGACCATCCACTCATTCCACTGAAAACAATGGCACTGAAGTGGGGGCGTGTCATTTCCATCCGGCTCCCAGACCGACACATCCCCCTCGGTGCTTTGAGAACCAGAAGGTAAGAACTGACAAGTTGGTTAAAAACCAAAAGGTGCTTTGTGAGTCAGGACTTTTCTGCAAGACCAGCCTCAGTGGGAGGGAGGAAGTACTGGCTTTGGGTCTAGTCAGTGCATAAAAGCGGGTCCAATGCTTAAAATCAAACTAAGTTTCCTGTTGGAAAACCGTGGAATTGATGAGGTATATTTAAAGGAAAAGGAATAGGACCCTGGCCAGTGTTGCTTGTGGTTAGAGCACCAGCCTGCGGACTGAAGGGTCATGGGTTCGATTCCTGGTCAAGGGCATGTACCTGGGTTTTAGCTTTAATCCCAGGCCTCAGTCAGGTGTATGTGGGAGGCAACCAATTGATGTGTCTTTTTGACATTGATATTTCTCTTTCTTCCTCCTCCTCCCTCTCTCAAAAAAAAAATATCAATGGGAAAAATATTCTTGGGTGAGGATTAACAAAACAAAACAAAAAAAGAGGAGAATTTACACAAAAAACTTTTTCAAGTTCACAAGTAAAGATAATGTTTATAAAATCAAGAGCTTAACTTTGTAAAGTTTCTGTACACCTGAAACGAATACAAAAAAAAAATTAAATGTAAACTGTAATTGAAACATTTTTAAAAATAAAAGAAACTAGAACTCAACAAAAACCACCAATGATTCTTAAAACCTGGTATAATTTGCCATGATCTTAGCAATTCTAGTCCAGAAAGAACCAGGGTCAGCTAAGGGAGTAAATGTTTATACAAAGAGTCTAGTAAGAAATTCACTTGCTTGCAACAATATTATTATTTCCATAAGTTGTGCGTTTAATGATGAGTCTTCTTCCTTACGGTAATTAGATCTTTAAAAGTCACCATGAGCAATAATATAAACCTTCACTTGTGACTTAGATAATTATGTGCATGTATGGGAGGCCAAGAGGTGTTAGATGGGCACCATCACGAACTTATCACCTCTCCAGGCCCCAGGAGGTATGAACAGCCTTGCTCAGGTTAGGTCTGCACATCCAGACTTGCACAGACAATCTATACTAATAAAAGGGTAATATGCTAATTAGATCAGGTCGACTGGACATCTTCTGGTCATCCTGCCTTCCTTCTGGACAAAGCCACGGTGGCAGGGGCCAAGGCAGAGGTGGTTAGGGGCGATCAGGCCAGCAGGGGAGCAAGCAATTAGGAGTGATCAGGCTGGCAGGGGAGGACAGTTGGGGGCGATCAGGCCATCAGGTGGAGGCGGTTAGGGGTGATCAGACAGGCAGGCAGGCAGGCAGAGGCGGTAAGGGGCGATCAGGCAGGCGAGTGGTTAGGAGCCAGTGGTCCCGGATTGTGAAAGGGATGTCTGACTGCCAGTTTAGGCCTAATCCTGGCAGTCGGACATCCCTCGAGGGGTCCCAGATTGGAGAGGGTGCAGGCCTGGCTGAGGGACACCCCCCTCCATGCATGGGCCTCTAGTAGAGGTATAAACAGCCTTGCTCAGGTTAGGTCTACACATCCAGACCTGCACAGACAATACGTAGGAGAAGCAATAGGCTGACTCTGAGTTTAGTGGCCAGACTGCCTAGGTTCATATCTGAACTCTGTGGCTCATTGGCTGGAGACCTGGGGCAGATTACCACACCTCTCTGTCCTCCATATGATGTCATGGTGAAATGAGTTATTCATAGCACCTAATTCATGAGGTTGCTGTGAAGATTAAATGAGTTACCTAATGTTATATGCATTGACTGTCACTATGACTTTTACCATTATTTCACACAAAGCAATGAAGACTTTTTAGAAAAAGGAAAAATATGTTTATTTCTCCTCTATCTATTCAAAATATATCTTGATCATCAGTAGCGTTATACAGATAGCATTTTGGTTAGGCAGCACCAGGCATTACACAGAACTTGATGGTGAAGATATCTGTGCTTTCTATTTCTGCTGCCTAGGAATGTATAATGCAGTCAGAATGGGGTAGCGCCGTGTCATATAAATCGAGGGATTTTTGTCGTTTTTCTTTATTTCGTTTATTTTTCTTCTAGGTTCTTGGTGGGAGGGGGCGGTGCGAGGGGCGGGCAAGGTCAGCTCTTCATTTGGCAGCATGCTTCTTATATATCTCCAAGAACTCAGTCACGTCTTCCGGGGACCCCAAGATGACTGGCGCCCTCTGGTGGATGTCAGTGGGAACGATGTCCAGTATAGCTTCCTTCCCAGTGGTAGCCAATCCTCCCGCCTTCTCGATGACGTAGGCCATTGGGTTACATTCGTACAGTAGTCTCAACTGGAAAACAAGAGCCCAGAGCAGCGTCTTCACACCAGAAGGTATTTCACAGAAAGAGGATTTATTCCACAGCAAAATAGTGCAGGGCTGGTGGACGTTTCCAAGGTAACTGAGACTCTCCCTTCTATGAGGTTGTAAAAGCCCCCCCCCCCCACACACACACCTCAAGGTTGCATATAAGACCAAATGGTTAATTTAGCATTTGGTTAATTAAGCCATTCATCAAGCCAGAGGCAGGAATGGACTGCTTGATGCGAATATGAGACCGAGCACCTGGACTCGGGCTGAATGACATATTGGCAGAACCGATGGCTCCCCTCTCTTTATGGCACGGCGACTGGACCTAATGAGTGATTCTGTGTGTTTTGGATGGAGCTTTGCCTATTCTAAAAGCATAAAAAGAATTCATGGTTGTGTCTGGCTGCCGACATCTGGAAAGCAGACTGGCTCCTCCAAACAGTATGATATTGTTTGCAACTCTACACACATTCCTTTTATAACTCTCCCAAGGCTTGCGGGTTGGGATTTACTATATTATAAGGCTTGGCATTTATTTTTAAATATTAACTTTTTTATTGTATGTGTTTTCATGCAGTCGCCTACGGAGCAGGCAGCTCCTTGCAGGTGTTTCCTGACTCTATTTCCATACAGGTGTCATGGCCAGATTTGCAAAACTGAAAAAAAGAAGGAACCTCAGTATTTCTGTTAAAAAATAATTTTGGGGACCTTAGGGAAAAGCACTAGAAAGCAGCTAATCACATAGGCGGGCGGGCGGGGTGCCTGAGGTGGCAGTGGCAGGAGTGGTGTTTTCTGTGAACACAGTGTCTTCAGTGAAGCGGACACAATGTGCTGTGAACAGAGATCTGAATACAGATTTCTATCTAAAGGGGGTTATTGTCCCTATTCCTTCTCTCATATTAAAAAAAAAAAAAAGATTGTCTACTGGGAAAACAAAAGGTCAGTGCTTGGGAAGGCAGCACTGTCCCCCTGTGCGGAAGGGCGTGCGGCCGCTCAGCCAGCTGGGCCCGCAAGCGCCCCCAGCCTGAGCACACGCCGCGGGCAGTCGCCGGGGTGTTAGTGCAACGGGTCACCCAAAAGCCCCAGGTTTCCCCGGAGGTTCTTTCCTTCCCTAGAAAGGTACCATTTTCCAAGCAGCCAATGTCTGCTCATTAGTTATTGCTATTTTATGCCTTTTGAAAGCAATGAAAGAAAACCTCTATTTGGAGTACGGATTTGATTTGCTGCCTCGGTAATGGGGCGGGACTGCTTCATTTCTCTTTATGAATGGAATTTATTTTGCTCAAGCCAAACCGCGTGCCCATGGGAAGAGCCGAGCACGTTCAGCCCCTCCTGACCGTAACACCATGACTGATCGCTAGCAACGGAAGGGCTCTGCAGATACTGCCTGACTTTAACCAGAACAACCTTAACCCAGATCAGGCTATGCCACAGACATTGTTAGCATCCCACGGCAGACTCTGACAGTTATCACCACCTTCTCTTCTTCCTCAGCCACCCCCTGGGCTGCAAATCAAAACCACCGCTCCCCAGAGGATCTGCTTACCTTCCCTTTGGGGCTCTTCTTGTTAGCCGGGTACAGAAAGATCCCTCCGTAGACCAGGGTGCGGTGGACATCAGCCACCATGGAGCCCACGTACCTGGAGCCGTAGGGGGCTGAGTTATCCTGCAAGGTTAAGACCAGCAATCATTAGGGTTGCAGGAGAGAGAGAGAGGAGAGAGAGAGAGAGAGAGAGAGAGAGAGAGAGAGAGAGAGAGCTCTGTGTCTTCTACACTTATTTGACTCAATAATCGTTTAGTGAGCACCTACAAGGTGTGTGTTTAGGAAACAGGATGAAAATCCCGTTCCCAGCGAGCAGAGAGCGGAGCAGTGGAGACCGCCTCTCCTCCATTGTACAGCAGGTCCATACCCTCAGAAACCCCACGGAAGCTGCTGTTGATTTTAGCTACGGGGTTGGGCCAGGCATCACACAAATGGTGCCACTTAGCAGAACCCTGCAGGTTAGGAAGGATTTTGCCAAGCTAAGGAGCTGGGCAAGGGCAGGGTTTTCATCTTGAGGGAAGGGACATACACAAGCTAACCAGACACAGAAGCAAGTGCTGTCCGCAGAGCAGGGGCTGGGGAGGGGGCATGAGAGGAATCCAAGGCGAGGTGGAAGGAGAGATGACGGAGCTGGAGAGAGAGCCCGGGCCGATTCTGAGGGCCCCGAATGCCACGCTGACGACCTTTCGGCTTCCTCTTCAGGACACAGCAGCATCAATGGCATGGGACATGAGTGTGACAAAACTGGACATTCCCACATGGAACCAGCTCTGCCACCAGCTGCTTCTCTCTTCGTGCTCAGTAATTAGTCACTGAGAGACACCGAGAAGGGCACCCTGGAACTTGCGATGACTGACAGACCCGTCAGACGCCGCAGGGCAGGTCCTGGGTGCAAGAGCCACATTCTGTACCATCTGGGATCGGGGACCCCAGAAGTAAACATGCTTTACTGCCCTGAGCTCATGCAGCCAGCGGGCCTGATGACCCTGATTTTATTCTGCCAAGAGAAAGCAGCAAAGGCTAAAACAGACCTTCTGATTTTGACGTCCCAGGGCAGGGGACCCAGTCCCCGGGACCTGGATGGGAACTTAACCATGGGGTCAGTGCGCAGTGGGAGCCAAGCTGCTCTTGTCCCTGCCCCGCTCTCCAGGTAAGTCAGGAACCAGGAGCCTGGCTCAGGGGCTCCCCCGCCCTCACTTACCGGGGGGAACTTCTTCCTCTGCACATACTCGGTGACCGCAGGGTCGAAGTCCTTGGCGTAGCCCTCATTGAGGCTGTAGATGTTCCCTTTCTTTTTGATCTTCACATCCTTGTCCACCAAAATGAACTCTCCAATGGCCTGTGAACAGGAGGCAAGGGGGAGAGGTGATGAGCCCCCCTCCGCACTTCCTCCTGCCTGTGTGAGGGTGCGGCAGGCTGGCTCAGCTGGGGGAAGGGGCGCAGGGCCTGCGGTCACACCCATGCACCAGCACAAGGAGCTTGGCTTTTGTTTCACAGGTTTTTCTTCTTGAGGGATAACTGACATGACATTGCATTGGTTCAGGTGTACAGCACAGGACTCCACATCCGCATGCATTGTGGGACAATCACCAGCACAGGGAGCGCGTGGCCCTGGGACACCCACGCCCTGAGATGGGCATGCCTCTGGAAAACATTTAATTTAAGTAAAGGTCGGTGCAGACAGGAGGCGGGCCTCAGAAGGGACAGACAGCTGGGCTACACCAGCGTGCCCAGGGGCTCAGGGCTGCTCTCAGCTTCCCGTCCCCACCTTGATGGCGTTTCCCTTCCGTGTGTTGCTCTAGAAAAGAGCAGAGCTTGTGTTTTGACTCACAGCACAGGTAAGTCAGCCACCTTTGCTCAGTGACTCTTAGCATCTCTCAGAGCACCCGCCCACCAAGCCCCAGGGCTAAGCTGGTGCCTTTAGAGTTTAGGTTCTGCTAAAGACTTTGCAGTTGGGAGGGAAAGTGTCAGTTAACTCCTGTGGCTCTAGCCTGAGGCTTGCGTGGGGCTCCTGCGTGTCACTGAGAAGGTGATGGGGTGCTGCTCATCTGGGGAGGGGGTTGCTCCCTGGAGGCAAGAGTTAGAAGAAGGGAGGCCCCATCAACACATCTCTCCTGGCCATTTATTCCCACAGTGAAGATTGGTTCCTGCCAGTATGGAGCACATGTGACTAGAGAGAGAGGGAGGAGGGAAGGAGGAAGGGTGAGTGAGAGGAGAGAAAAGAGGCGAGTATTAACAGTGGTCCCTGGAAGCTGTCGTTGGGAGTGGTTCTTTTTTCTTTTATGCTTTTTGATATTTCCAACTATTCTGACCACAAATATGTAGAAATATTTTTATGGTCAGAAGACTAAGTAAGTAAATAAATATCTTTACAAAAAAAGGTTTAAAAGTCTGGAAAATGAAGCCGTTGCATGGCAGGCGCCGCGGCTCACACAGCCATGCTTTGCAGACCCCGCCCGCAGCGCCGGTGTGGAGCGAGGCCTCCTGCACTCAGACAAGAGACGGAAAAGCTTTTTGAACATTAAATGCCCGATGAGCTAAAAATGCAAACATAGCTTCTTAGCAGAAACCCTCAGCCTGCGCGTGCAGCAAGCCGAAAGGAAAAGGAAAGGCTAAACCGGTCCGAGGCCCAGCCCACAGGCGTCCGCCAGCAAAGGGCTGGCCAGATCCCGGATCCAGGAGGCAGCCCGCAGGGGACAGGCAGTCCTTCCAAATACGGCCCGGCCAGCAGGTGTGAGGAGGGCAAAGGACCATCAAATACACAGACACTGACTCCCAGAGACACCGTCTGCGATCTGGAAACAAGGAGAGATTTACTTTTTCGATGCGCCCATCAGCAAAGGCAACAGACGGCCCCAGGAGGCCGTGAGGACGCAGGACGTGTCTGGGAGCTGAGACAGCAGTGATTTCAGAAACTGTGCCCCAGCCCCGGCTCCCAGTGAACTGTGCTCTGGTTCTGCCACTGCTTTCCCTCAGGTCACCTCGCTGGAGACTTACTCGAGTGCTGTCCCCCACCCCTGTTTGTTTATTAAACGCCGGTACTTCCAAGGAGGCAAAGTGCAGTTGTGCAAGAGTGCAGGGGGCAAAGGCGCCCGCACCCTGGTCTATCGGCCCTGCCGCAAACCAACCCCCGCCTCTCCAGAAGCAGCCCGGCGCTCCCAGGACCCCAGCCAGCTGCTCGTCCTTGTGTTCGGTTTGTCAGCAAAAAGCACCAAATAAACAACATGCGTCATTAATGTCACCCAAGGACATTTCTAAAAGTAAAAGATGTTTATAAACCCCTGGGGCACAGGGCCAAACACACAATGAACAGGCCAACCTAGTAAAGACTGTCCTATGGGGTGTATATTCAGTGGTGGATTTCATGGCACCAGATATTTGAAAAGATTTCTTTCCCTCATTCATCTGCTCTGTTGACACTGTCATCTAAATCAGCGGCCGCCAACTGGTGGTCCTCGGACTACTGGTGGTCCGTGAGGTCCGAAAGATTGGCGACTGCTGAATCAATAGGTAAATAACCCCAATTAATAGGTACGTAGGACTTATCCACAAATTAAAACTGCCAATGAGTATTTTTCGTGCACCCTGGGCTTCTCTCCATAAGGTAGCTGTTCTCTATAAGGTGGGCCAACGACTGATCTCCATTTCCTTCTTTACTTTCATGCCCTTGAGTTCATCAGAGCCTTGTCAGAACTGCAGACGTTAACCAAAGGTGTGCCTGCGCGTGCACAGCAAATATGTTCAGGTGGGCTACCGTTCACTGAGGAAATTAGTGATGAATACAGTGGGGGGTAAACAGGCCATCCACAGGCGCCACCTGGTCCATGAATGCATTTAGTTGGCTAGCACACGGTTTTACAAATCCAGAAGCATCACGTTAAAAACACACACCACAGTGTTTCCTAAACCTCGACACCTGTCCAGTTCACCACAGTCCCACCAGCCCCCGGCCTGGCTTAGCAGCACGCTCTACTCATTCCCATGGCCTGCCCGGCCTAGATGGGCCTTGGAGTCAGTTGAATAATGTCTGTTCCGAAGATTTCATCTTGGAACAAAGGCTCTCTTTCATGCTCTGGACAGACATTAATCCTCACCTCAGTAATCTCCTGACGTACATGTGGTCTTCCATTTTGCTTCCCCTCTCCGCCCCCACCTCTGTCCCTCCAGACGTCATCTCCCCCCTCTATGTACCCCAGTCCATGCCCCACACACATAACTGATACAGCCATCAGCCAGGCACCTAACCCCCCACCGCCGCCCCCAGGCTCTCTCACCGGGTCCAGCATGAAGCAGTTGACCCCACAGGCCATGGCCAGCACCAGCATGGTGGCACTGCCATAGAGGGCATAGCCAGCCGCCACCAGGTTCCGGCCCGGCTGCAGGGCGTCCTTCTCAGAAGGCTCGTCGGTAGTGTTCTAGGACAAGAAAGAAAACAAGACATTTTTGTTCTGTTTTGTGGTTCTTTTTTTTTTCCAGTTCAACCATTAGCAAGATGCATTAGCAAGATGCTTTCTTGATGAAATAGGGCATTTTCTTAGAGGGACCCTCCGTCAGGAACAGTGATGTCCTGATTATATTCCCACAGCAGGCTTCCCACAGGCCCCTGATTTCCTGCAGCTGGGACCTTCTTTCCAATTACCGCCCTCCTCCGATTTTACTAATTTGATATTCCCTCATTTCTCTATTTTCACTTTCAGAACAGAGCATGCCTTCTTGCCAGCTCCCGCTAATTTAATCTTGTTATGGGCATCGATGTCTTTCACCTGCCTACTCCATCGTTCTTTAAACAAATTAAGACTGGGCTGCAGGGCCGAGAGTCTGGTGAGGACATCAATTCCAGGAGTTCTTGCCAGTTGCCGCCCATCCCCCAGGGAGCAATGTGGCCCACATCACTCACACACCAAGGAGATTCTCGGAAATATGGGGACTTAGAAAACCCTCCAGAGCCAGTGCAGACCAGGGGAGATGCTCCCATTGTGTTGACCATGACCCACAGTAAGAAACACTGGCTCCATCACAAACCAGCATCAACACACACTCACTGTGCACACAAGTACAGGAATGAAACGAAACAATCTTACACTTAGAACATGACGTGCACACTAATCTTTTCTTTTTCTCACTAGGAACACAGCCCGCTGGGTCATGTGACCCACAGTTTGCCTAATATTGAGGAACGAAACACGTGAAGGAGACGGCTCCTAACGAATGGATTGCTAACCGATGACTACCGTCTCATCAACACTTGATTGGCTTCTTCGTTCCTCAAAGCAGCCCCAACAAATCTTTCAGCTTGAACGGTCTCTACCTGAATTTAAACAGAAATGAAAATGGGCAATTTCTGCCAATTTTATTTATTCCTTTCCCAGCCAGAGATGCCAGCAGCTGAGGGTAAGAACTACTAATGGAGAAGGAAGAACTGCTAAAACCATTTCTTTCCATTTTTTCCTTCATCATCACAACTAGTGTTTTTGTTTTGTTTTGTTTTTTGTTTTGTTTTTATTTCAGAGAGGAAGGGACAGGGAGAGAGAGATAGAAACAACAACGACAGGAGAGAATCACTGATCACTGCCTCCTGCACCCCGCCTCCTGGGGATCGAACTGGAAACCCAGGCATGTGCCCTGACCAGAATCTAACCGCAACCTCCTGTGGTTCCTTGGCCAAAGCTTAACCACTAAGCCACACTGGCTGGGCCCTCAAATTTAATAAAAGGTTTTCGTCAAGGTGGTTGGTTGGTTGTGTTGGGTCAACACAGACTAAACACAGTATAGAAAATTTGAGTTTTCCCTAGCTCCTTATGTTGCCCGTGCACAACCCTGAAAAAGGAACCAGCTTCCTTCGAAGCCAGTGACAGAGGGGGCGGACTCAGGCCTCTAACTACCCTCTAACACAGCCACTTAGGCCTCCCCAGCAGCGGGAATCAGACAACGGGAATATGGAACAAATGGACTGACTGGGAGCTGCTGGAGGCTTGCAGTGATCAGGTCTCCACTAGTAAAAGCTCCCCAGAGATTCCACCTTGCCAGCACCATCCATCTCTGCCTGTGGGGAAGGTGCGAGAGAAAACAGAATTTCCCTGAAATACTGTCACCAAACAATCTTACCCTTTGACGGCTTTGCATGAAATAAGAAAAGGCAACACTATCTATGATGCACATACTCACAAGAAACAGAAAGTAACGCCATCGAATCATGGACTTGCAGGGACTCTTTTCTAGCCTGACCCCTTCCCAATGCATGAGTTCCCTCCTGCAGACCCCAGCAGTCACCACATTCCCATGCGGATGCGCAGGGTCCTGTGCATGAAGAACCTGCAACATTGGAAAGCCTCCGGACCTTGCCTTTCTCTATGCCGCCCAGGCCATCACCTGCTGTGGAGATTGGTTCGTTTTATTCCACGCCATCCCATAAGGAGTAGGTCAGTGGTTCTCAACCTTCCTAATGCCGCGACCCTTTAATACAGTTCCTCATGTTGTGGTGACCCCCAATTTCATTGTTACAAATTGAACATAATTAAAGCATAGTGATTAATCACAAAAACAATATGTATTTATATCTGTGTTTTCCGATGGTCTTAGGCGACCCCTGTGAAAGGGTCATTCGACCCCCAAAGGGGTCGCGACCCACAGGTTGAGAACCGCTGGAGTCGAGGGAAAGACACCATGGATTCTGGAGATTCAAGGTGGCAGACGAGAAAGTCAAGTCGGGCAAAAGTGTGTTGTGGCTGTCGTGTCACCAGGTAGCCGTCCTTTAGGGAGGCAGCCAAACCCTCCTTAGAAAGTCCGACAGCGCATTTGGCAGGGTCCCCAGTAACGTAGCCAATATCGTTTACCTATGATTGCAGCAGGGACCCTAGCAGACAAAAATGTGTAAGATGACGTCCCTGCCTCCAGGAGATTGTACTCTGGACTGCAGATGGGTTGGTTTTGCCTGGCCAGCACCCCGCACCATCCTGATAACTTCCTTTTTAACTTCCTCTTAATCTTCCTTAGAATGCTGCCTCCCTCCCTCTCAGCTCCAGGGGTGGGCGCATCCAGACAAACATTCTAACCGTGATGGCATCCAACACCTCAGGAGAATCATACTCCTCTGTGTCCCCAGCCAGAAGCTGGGTGACCCCTCCTAGGTGGAACACCAGACCACCAGCCCTTTGAGGTCCCCTGGAAGCTGTTTCCCAGCAGTGGTGGGCAGGCCTGGTGCTGCTGCGGGTTCCTGTTACAGACGCTGTGCGCTGAGCTGGGGCCCAGGGAGCTGAATTCTAGCCCAGAGCCATCTGTGCAGAAAGCAGGAAAGGTCACCTTTGAAGCATCGGGCACATCAATGCTTATGCCCCATAGGCCCTCAGATGGCTTTAAATAATCAATCAGGCTTTTGAAAACTGAAATAACAAAGGCAGTATCCCACTCATATTTTTTTCCCAGTCTTTTAAAAGTCACACCGGGTTTATTGAGACAAGTGTGGAGATTCATTGTTGAGTTATAGCATCCTTAATTCATGCTGCTGTTGCAAGCTGTTTGATTTTTTTAATTGACAGCCAGTGTCTCAGTTTTCTAGTTTTCTCTGGTTTCCTTCAAGGCGTCCTTATTTGGGGGTTGAGGTGGAGACTGGAGCTGGCAAACATTCGCGCTGCTTTAGTTTTGGCTGAGTCATTAACCAGCAGTCTTGCTTCAAATGAAGACTTTTGCTACAAACCTCTCTTGCTAGATGATAGCCCTGATACTTTGCAGATAAAATGGCCTGCCTCCCTGTCTATAACAGGAATGGTATATTCATGGGTGACTTGGAAAATAGATAAATTCTTGCCTTGACATTCCTGGTATGAACATTAGAACCTGTTACTCACGTCGATTAGCTGTTCAAGATGATGCCCCTGCCTCGAGGGGTTTGTAATCTGTACAAAAGCCGAAGGGGCATTCTGTCCCTCTCAGCTGGGACAAAAGCAAAATACACTCAATGACCAGAGAACGGTCCCCTGGTGTCCTGATTTCCACATGTTTGAAAGGAGATTATGTCCAATACTGGCCAACAAGTCTCTTTGAACAATAACGTGCAAGTTGGGTCTCACTACTTAAATGATGGCCTCCGTATGCTAAACTAGGAGATTGTGGAGAAGCCTCACCAGCCACCTGCCCATTAAGATAAAGTGATTCAGGCTCAGGGGCATCTGTGAGGTTTTATTTCTAAATTAAACAATACAGGCTGAGTTATGGGGACCAGCCTATTTAAAGGACATTGCAAATTATAAACATGAAAACATATTTCAGATTTTGTGTTTTATGAGGGGCCCACAGGCATTCATTCTATTTTGTTTACACACACACACACACACACACACACACACACACACGACACTTAAAGAGAAAGAAGGAAAGAGAGGCTCTGGAGGTAGAGCTACCTGCCCAGGTACACAGGTAGAAGACCAGGCAGGGTCCTGGTCCCAGGTCCCATGCCACAGCAGAGTGCAGCAAAATCTGTCCATAAGTGGACAGACAGTAAACTCTGTAGGGCTTAGGTGATAAAGTATCACAACCGCTCAGCCCTGCCAAGGCATCATGGAACCCGCCAAAAGCATCATGTAAACATATGAGTTGACCACATGCCATTAAGACTTTATTTAGGGACAGTGACAATGAAATTCATATAAATGTTATGGGCTATGAAATATTATTTAGTTTTTTCAGAATATTTTTTAAAAATGCAGAAGGTTTATTCTTGCTCAGAGGCCATACAAATCAGGCAACTGGCTGAATTTGGCTGTGGGAGAGTAGATTTCAAGGACAACTCTGACATATGTACTCTCGTTGTCACACTCACACAATTTTCAGCTCACATAGTATCGCCACTGTAACTACCCTCTACTGCCCCTTTATTTTTAATTTCATTTTCTATTATAAAGAAAGCATGATTCATCTATGAGTAAACTATTTTTCTCTTCCTACCCACACTGTACTACATTTTCTAACAACTCAATGGATCTTCACTATGTAGCAAATGCTGAAAAAGTCAGAACTCAAGACATAAACCTTTGTCAAGTCTCACAAAGTTTCCTGATATACGCTCTGATTGCTCCACCAATAGTGAAACAGGACTGGACACTCGACATGAACTTTCCTCTGGATCCCAAACCAGGGGCTTATCCATTACGTTGTACCTTTCTGTAGATGCCAAAAATGGTTCCAATGGACACAAGGCAATCGATGTTGGAGGATCCATCAAGGGGGTCAAAACAGACCACATATTTACCCTGGTCAACAAAAAAAGGAAATAAAACTTTACTTTAAAAATAAACACATTATAACAAAATAGAAAGTATACACTAAGGGGATTTAAAAAAGGGGAATCTAGGGGAAAGTTCAAGAAATGTGGGTCTTATTTATACTCTGTCATGGAAGCTATGAGTGGCATGCAAAATGAAAACAACAATGAATATACATAATCATATGATTGTTATTGTACCAAAACATCATTAGGCAGAGAAAACACAACTTAGAATGGGAGGAGTAGATGAAGGTAATGGAATATAGATAAATAAGTCAATTTCCTACATCGTTGATATAGCTGAATCAGAATTTGGCTTGAGTTTCCTGGCAGCCAAAGGAAGAAGAGAAACAAGGTTAGTCAATTATTTCTTTTCCTTCATTAGGGATGTATACATACTTCCTTAAGTGAAGCTAACACAACATTCACGTCTTGAAGGACCTCCTAGTGCAGGTCTTATAGATGACATTTGGGTTGCAGTGCACAGAGTTCTCATGGCTATCCCAACTGCAATTCTGTTGTAGAGGGACTACCAAAGGTTTGGTCTTTGAATGGGGCTGTCAGGTTTCTGGCCTCAAAAGTGAGCTGTGCACATCTCTTCCCAACTCTGCCTTCAGTGATGTCACGTTGGTAGCTTGAAATCAACTATGGGGGAGTATTTACGAAGTTGGTATTGGCAATTACTACAAATCAGAGACTTTTCCAAAACAGAACCAGTTTATCAACACACCATAGGAGATTTTCCATATCCAGATTAGCTACGTTAAGAGGTGGCTTTTAAGTTCTGCATCAAATTAAGACAATTCTCTGATTCCCTGACCACTTGCTCTTAAATCACCCTGGCTGATGCAGGAGAAACTGTCATCTGGAAAACAGGAACATGCCTGTTAGAAAAGCACATCGTAGTCAGAGAAGCTGGCCAACTGGTAGAGAACATTGAACAACAAATTCAATCCACATGCCTGACACTGCCAAGTACCTTGAGAAGACCAACGGATAACAACATGAACTTTGAATCTGACATGTAATATATTTTAAGAATAATGTCAAACAAATTAATCGAACATAGCTCCCTACACTCTTCAAAATGTCAAGACCAGGTGTCAGGTAGCCTCTGTAAGTTCATCTTCTGATTGCTTTTTTCTGATTCTACTCCTTCATGTCCTGATTCATCTCAAACAGGAAAAGATAGACAGCCCATAGAACTGCACTTTTCATTTCAAGGTTTTTTTTAAATTATCATATAACTGTTTTGTTCTATAAAAGCTGGATATACTCTTTCCATTCCCTTTTGCAACAATAACTTAGTATTGAACCCCTACAATGGGCCAGGAGTTATGCTAGATGCTGGGATACAGAGAAGAATATAATTCATTTCCTCCCTCAAGAAACAATTAGATTAATAGGCTTCCAAACCACAAATCAGTGACAGGAATTGGGAGCAGTTTACACTGGCAGAAGAATTAAAGTGTGAGGGCAGGAATTTGGTGGATGAAGATGAAGCAAAAGAAGTTGTTAACAGTTGCCAGACGTCGAAGAGCCTTGAACATGACCATGAAAAGCTAGGAGTGGGGATGAGTATGAGTATACATGAGTCTCTCCCATGTATGGGCCCACTGGAGGATAGATAATGGCATGGACTATGGTGGTAGAGTGGACAGGTGGGGACAGTTTGAGAGGTGGTAGTGAGGATGAATCTGTGAAATGATGACTCATGGTTCAGGAGGAATCTAGGGTGATTCCTAGGAATCCAGCGTGGCTGAGCAATTGGAGTCATTTTTGAAGCGGTTACATCAAAATGGTTACATCAAAAATGGTTACAGAAAAATGGTTACATCAAAACCCTGGATGGTGGAAGTTCAGACCCACCCTTTTGTCAGGTTCTATAATTATGGCGTGTTTATCTTCTTCCGACACCAGGACGCAGGTCGCAAAGGATGCCCGCAACACGTTAATGACCATGTCATTGGAGAGGACGTCCAGCTTCTTCACTTGGTCACCCGTCACGTTGGTAGAGCCAGCAATTCCATAGCTAGAGGGGAGAAAAGCCACAAGAATACAAGCCATGACCACCAGAACATGTAAATGCATGTACACCCACCGAACGTGGCATGTAGTAGGATTCAGAAGAAAGAAAAGAAGGCGCCTGGTTTAGAACAAGAAGCATGGTTGTCCCTGCACATGGGCTCCTGGAGGGGAGGAAATACCATCACTCGCCTGTCCAGTACCTGTCATGGCACCTGGCACACCTTGTAGTGAAATCTGTTACTCAAGCTCTCCACTCTCCCCCCGCACACATTATGGGTTCTAAAGAAGCTTTTTAGATTGTTTTCTCTAATCACACTCCCCCATGAAATATTAATTTTAATAGTAAAGGATATGGTACATATCTGTGTAGGCATTGTCTGCATAGCTATGTTTTATACACAAAAAGATTGATTTTTCGCCTCCCCCAGGCTGGTTTTTACCCCCGAATGTATGGCCGATGCTTAATGATAGCAAGCAGGGAAACCTTCTGGGTGGGAGGGGTCCTGAAATGTGAATGAAGCCCAGGGTGTCCCTGGTTTTATAGCTGAAAACATCCTAAAAGAAAAGATACTGACTGGTCCCACCTCGTTTCCTAGAGGCAGGCGGAAGCCACCAGAGACATCAGAGGGCTTGTCCAAGCTGGAGCAGCAGAGCAGAGGTGGCAAGCCCACGGGGACCCCCAGACCAGGCTCTCTCAGTGGCACCCCACTGCCACTGGCAGGAGTCCTAAGGGCTGGCGGGGGTGAGGGGGAGGGCTGGAAAGTCTGCAGTTTCTAGCTTATTTTCAAGGTACCTGCAGTCAGTAATTGTGGAATTCCCAGAATCCCAGTGGCTTGTCCAAAATGCAGCCTCGTTTGCTAGGAAAGACAGGAGGGTGTTGATAGCCTGGGATTGGATAGGAACACTGAAAGGAGGGGAAATGTTCTAAAGGAAGGGTGCACAGAACAAGAAAAGAGGCTGGATGTGGGACAGGAAGAGCAGGGGCGTGGAAATGACTGAGAGCAGGGGCCCAGGGCACAGCTGCACCTTGGTCAGAGTTCTAGGCGCACTCACCTGGGAACCGGCTGTCCCGCCACCTGCCGCTTCAGCTCCCCAAAATGCGCTTGTCTAAGCATCACTTGCATGTCCGGCTGGACAGATCTGAACCAACACCAGTCATCGTCCAAACCCTAGCGTCTCATCTGGCCCGACTCTCCGGGAGGTAACTCCAGGGATCTCATCACCCCACTGCCCTGTGTTTCCTAGAGACACAGGCTACAGCTGCAAGTCATGGGTCCTTTGGTCTTTAAGCCACGAAATGAGATGGGATGGAAAGAGGAGCAGGAGGAGGGCTGACGGATGAGACGCTGTTTTCCCGGCCGGCAAGGGAATGATGCCGTGTCCCTGAGCTTTCTGTTCTCACCCCACACAATCTCTTTCTCACCCTAACTGTAGGCCAATGCTGGTGGAGAAAGAAGGCAGCCAAATTCTGGGAGGAGCTGGACAGCATGGCAGGGCCCACCCGCTGAGATACATCCCCCTCACTGGCCTACTGGCACCAAGCAGCTCTCCTCCCTCGCCAGGGGTTTCCACGGGTACAGTCACTGCTGATTCCGGATGGCTAGCGCTGATGGAGAGAACACGGGCATCATGACAGAGACCTGGCTCCCCCAGCTCTGGAGCCCTCGCCTCACTGAGCCTCCTGTCTGCTTTGCCCATGGAAGCCACGCTCCCTCGGGGAGATGTTAGAGGACCGCAGGCGGTAACATACATGAGGCGCCTAATGCTCATCCCGAGCTTGCTCTCACAGGGGGCTCTCATTAGGGCTGTAGATGCTGGGAGAGGAATGCGGTCTCAGTGATGCCCGATGCCCGGGGCTTCATCTACATCACACTGGCACGGTTGCTTATCCTTTCCTTCCAGAAGGATGAGGACAGAGGGCATGTTTCTTCCCAATGTCCCAGCTTCCAGTGCCTAGTAGGCCCTCAATAAATACTTGCTGGTCCCGGCCTCATGCCTCAGTTGGTTAGAGTGTTGCCCCATACATCAAAAAAAGGTTGTGGGTTCAATTCCCGGTCAGGGTGCATGCAGGAGGCAACCAATCAATGCTTCTCTCTCACATCGCTCTCTCTCTCTCTCCCTTCCTCTCTCTCTAAAACTAATAGAAACCTATCCTGGGTGAAGATTATAAAATAATAAGTAAATAATAATAAGTACTACATGTGTACTTGCTGACTGAATGAATGGCATTCACTGAGGAGAGAAACTGCCCGGAGGAACGTGTGCAACAGTGACCAACTTCTAAGGCCATTCACACTCAGCAGTGCCAAGGAAGCCACCTGTGGGGTCCCAGGGACAGGCGCACTGGGTCAGCGGCAGGAAGGCCTGGGAGGCTGGGCAGAGGGACCGCAGGCATGGGAAGGACTGTCCACACTGCCCCGTGCTCTGCCAGCTCAGGGATCTCGCTCAGCAAGACGGGCGAAGGCCAATCAGCTCCCAGAGTAGCTGCGTGAGTGTTCATTTGCCCCACGAGTATTTATTGGGTGCCCAGTGTGCCCCAGAAACCTGCCTGAGTGCTGGCGTCTCAGTGCAGAACAACACAGATGGTATCGCTGGCCTCAGGAAGCTTATACTCTACTGAGACAAACAAGAAACAAGTAATGTGGAACGAATGAGATAATGTTGATAGTGACCAGTGCTCTAATAAAATGAAACGAGATGCCTGAGGGGCAGGGGGTGGATTGGCCCGTCAAGGAAGGTCTCGCTGCAAAGGGGCCATTTGAGCTAAATGATACCAGGCACCAAATGACCCATCACAGACAACTGGCCAGTTCTCGGGCTCCGCCTCCCTGAAGGTTATGTAGTCACCCCTCCCTTCCTTCTCTTTCACTTCCCCCAGAATTGACGGTCCCCCCTTTGTTTTAGCCTTCTTCAATGATTCTCCAGTTGCTTGTGAAGAAGAATATTAAAAACCATGGAGGTTGGTTATTCTGGGCCCCTCCAACTTGAAATCCAGGCACTTTATAACTTTTCTAGGCCAGCTCATGGGAAGGGTTCCTGGTAAAACGTGGTGTTGGGGACTCTTGGAGAAAGCACTGAAATTGACGGTCCCCCCTTTGTTTTAGCCTTCTTCAATGATTCTCCAGTTGCTTGTGAAGAAGAATATTAAAAACCATGGAGGTTGGTTATTCTGGGCCCCTCCAACTTGAAATCCAGGCACTTTATAACTTTTCTAGGCCATCTCATGGGAAGGGTTCCTGGTGAAACGTGGTGTTGGGGACTCTTGGAGAAAGCACGGGCGAGCGATTCTAAGCTAGAAACAGAGTTCAGGAGCATGGGCTCCCAGACTGCGTGTCGGCAGCAAGAATACCTGAGTTTATACACATCGCCAGGTAGTCTTCCATCCGGGTCTCAGCTCACAGGGTTGGCTGTGGCTGGCGCTTCACACACAGCCCTGCACTACTGCTGCTCAGGCACGACCAGGTCCTGGGCCGCCTCAAGGGGCCCTCAGGGGGCAGCAAGGTGTTGCCACAGGTCAGTGAAAGGTCAGAAGCTTTGAGAATGGAAAAGTCCTCAGAAATATCCTCACAGAACTAAGCCGCTGAAGGACACATGGAATTTATTTTCTACACAAGTTTCCAGAACCCCCTTTAGAAACATTAAATGCCTGCACTCTGATCAACCATCATTCCTCAAAGGACTGATGAACAAGAGCCTTCCCCATATGGAGCAGTGTGGCCACCTACAGAATCCAGAGCAGACCTGGGCTCAGCTCCTGCGGACACAGCCCCTCCTTTGCTGGGCCGCTGAACCAGGGCTTAGAAATGAATCAGCTGGCTTCT